AAATTTGATGATAATGATTGAATTTTAAAAAATGGATTTGGTTCAAGAAAAATTGATGATGATGATGATGATGATGATGATGATGATGATGAAGTAATTTTAATTTTATTTATTTGATTAAAAAGAGTTAAATATGATCGATATGGTTCTTGTTTACTAATATTAGCAAAATAACGTTCAAGTTCATAAAGTAATAATTCCGGTGATTGATTTTCACATAATTGATATAATCGATAAACAGCTGATATATGATCGTCTAGAAAAAAAAAAATGTCAATATTATGTTCTATATCTACCAACGACAAAATGCTTGCGAATAGTATTTTTGACGGATAGTTCCACGAGTAATTAACCGCAAAAAAGACAAAGTTCTCAGAAGATTTTTTTTTTGTTTGTTTGTAGAACTCGTTGTGCTGATTTATTTGGATAAAAGAAAAATATTCGAATTTACTCAATAAAAATCATGGTGCTAGAACCAAAATATTCAAAAACTTCAGCTATACCTGACTGATACTAAGCAGTAATTGATCTCTTCGAATATTTTGATCTTAGCATCATGATATATTGAGTAAATTGGAATATTTTTTTTACTGAAATGATCAATAGTACAACGAGCACTAAAGATGAAAAACATCTTCTGAAAATTTTGTGCTTTTTTTGTGGTTAACTACCTATGGAAGTATCTATCAAGATTAGGTTATATCTTTTCATCTCATATGTTTTAAGTATGTCTATCAATTCATTTTTTTTTTCTCAAAAACTTAACTCATTATCTATCTAACAAAAATTAATTTACAATTTTTGTAAAAAGAAAAAAAATTTTATATGCAAACTTTTACAAGATATTGATTGATTACTAATATTTGTCATAAGTTTATCATGAATTTCATGTCGTATAAGTGTCCATTTTTGTTCAAAATCATCTTTATCATTAAATCGTTCTTTAGTTTTTCGTTGTATTAATTTGTCACAAACAAATTCATAAAAATTTTCACATGGATCTTTATTAACATTAATAAATTCAGGTAATTGACGTTTTCTTGCTATTGGATGTATACATGACTCAGTAGACTTTAGTTTTATTAAACGACAATCACTGCTATTGATACGATAAACAAGCACGGCTGCCAGGATAACAATAAGAGTAAGACAAAGTCCAAAAAGCATACAAACAAGACAACAATGCATTGATGATGATGATGATGACGGTGTTGATGATGGTGAATCCAGCATTGTTGGACTGTACAAATAGATATATGCGTGTTGTGGTTGACGTCGACAACAACACAACCGACTTAGCCATGAACAACAATTAGGCATTTTATAATTGACCCATAATGATACTATTGAATAACAAAAATAAATCAAGTGTATTTGTTTTTTTCAATAACTTACATGCAAATAGATTAACAATGTTTTTGTCGCCAATCAACCAAATGAAGACAATGACGATGAAAATCTGTTATTGCCATATTATTTGCACACAGACGATAATGATGATGATGAGAACGAGTAGGAAAAAAAAACCTTCAAAGAAGTAATCGACTGTAGATGTGTTGTTTTCTTCTTTAAACACATCTACATCATCAACCCGCAAGGGTACAATGAATTAATGAAACGTGCATATGTATGCGTGCACATTCACACAATATCCTTTTCCAACTACTCTCATTCGTATTACTTATTTGCTAAAGCTATTAGTTTATGCTCTTCGTATATTTTTTTTGGGTAGCATCAGTAAGTTCCTCATTTCAAACAGGATATGTTGTCCTGCATGCAAGTGAATTAGACGGAAGATGATCGTAGCTATTAAATTTACGCGTATTTGAGTTTGCTGTACACACTATCCGGACGTGTCTGTCAATAATTGAACGATCGCCGGTATTGGTTGATCACTCGTTAGTTCATTTCATATTCTAATACTTAATCGAACATCAACAAATGAAGAAAAAAAAAACTGAAGAGGATGACACAAGTATGTATTTATACATATATGATCATAAACCGAATGATTATATTCAAACGATGACATTTCTAAGCAGTAAAAATCATGGTTGAATATAGGAGCCACATCTCATTAAAAATACAAATGTTGAATTTTGTTTTTTTTCTTACCATGTATGTATATGTGTGTAATAGCCTAAAGACATTGTTACTTTGCTCTTGCTCTTCAATTATCCATTAGGTGGGTGGGAGAGAATGGAAGGGGGTACCATTCGGTGCTATCAAACGATCAAACAATCTCTCATATTCTATTCTAATCTTTTCCTTCTGTTCATGTCGCTATCCACTGTAACTAAATATACTGACAAGGAGACTAGTGTGTCTGCTTTCTTCTTTTATATTTTACTAATCTTATGAATAGTTGAAACGAAAAAATGAAAAATTATAATGAACAGCATACAGACAATATCAACATACCGACAAATTGAAAAATTTTTATATCAAAGTAGAAGGTTATATGTCACTGAAGTAGAAACTTGACTCTCCTTTTCTTTCTTTTTTTTTGTGTTCTTACTTGATCTTCAATTCAATTGAATAGATGTTCAATCTACACTGCTATAACAATATGTTATAATTCATAGAAATTGAAGTCCATGGACACGACAAGGTGAGAAAGCCCGTCGGAATAGCTATAGGTGCTTTTTATTCGAACTAAATTTATGGGTGTTTTTTTATAAGATGTATAACATATAAAAAATGTAGTAAACCAAATAAAATTCAAATGGCTATGAGAATGAGCAATATGAATATACTTATAAGGCTATTTTCTTAGCATTCTCATTTCACAATAGAATACATGAACAAGAGCGTATTTCCTGTATATAAAGAAGAAAAAAAAATGAGAGAACTAATTTCAATGTATGTTAGGTGAACCAATGAAGAGAAAAAAGAAATTTTCATATTAAGAGTTATAAAATATTCAATTATCTATATGGCTATTTACTTCTAAAATTATGTTCAAAATAAAAAAGGTTTTTACTATAGATATATTTGCCTTATGGATCATTGTAATGCTCGACAGAGAAGAAACGATAAATGGATCTTCCCTTTTTTTTTTGTTCTAATCAATGTACGGAAAAAAGACATATGTAAGAATTTCCGGCTATCACAATGGATCAGATTTCTTCTTTTAAAATATAATGCATATTCTATTCTATTCATTTTCTCGATTAAATAAAAGTCAGAATAAGAGAAAAAAAAAATATATATATATATGATTATAATATAAATCATATATGAACTTTCGTGGAAATCATAACATTGTCTTACGTGATCAACTATTAAATGGAGTGTGCTACTTAGCAATTTCTTAGAATAGATGATCACTCTATATAACATTCTATTCTTTAACATCAAACAATTCCATTATATGCTAACATAAGAAGTAGTCCTTATACTTTGATTGACCGACTAAATGAACTTAATGGAATGTATCTATAGCATTAAGAAATCAAACTCACTGATTTACTTGTCAAGAATTTTTTTTGAAATTGTCATTAAAACAAAACGAGATTATTTTAGAGAAAAAAAAATCCATTCATTTACTATTTATGAATTAACCTTAGAGACCAAGAAAGAAATTCCCTGAAGCTTGTATGTACAATGAATTTCTAACGAATAAGGCATTAATTAATAAGAGCGCGAGTTTTTTTTTTCTTAACAAAGAATAGGACAACATTTTAATTCTTTTATTTCAAAAAAAAAAAATCCAATGTATACCTTTGTATAGAAAAGAAGAGTGATGTAATGTGATGTTGTAACTTAAGAATTTTGAATATGATAATTCTTTAATCGTTCAACTACTAATATATTTAACGATATCTTTTTTTATAGATACATTTTATGTGAAATAATTATCTTGTACAAGTAATTAATCAGTAAGAAAAAGAACATGCTCTTTCAAGTCAATACAACAAACATTCGATAAGGTCAATTAATCATGATTGATGAACTCGAACTGATAAAATAAAGAAATCATTTCTTCTTAGAATGAAAAATTGTATCGTCTAATCTTTCATACAAAAAAGAAAAAAAAACCAGTCAGTTAAATATACTTGCAACTAAATTAAATGAACTAATATATCACATTTTTTTTTGTCGTTTATATAACACTAAGTAAGGGTCAATTTTTTAAGATTTATAAGCAATATATATTCAAAAGTAATAAAATAATATGCCGAAAGAAAAAAAAAATTGAGTATAATATGATGTGCAATAAAATATTAACATAAAACAAAATCAGCATTTTGAAAATAAATAGTAAATATTATATATCTCAGTATTAATATTATTAAAAACAAGACAGTTTTAATTGGGTTTTTTTTCTCTAATTGATTTGCTTAGAAATGTCATAACAAATTTTAATTATCTATATAAGTTCCTATTGTTATAATTATCTAGGTTTTTAGTTCATCTTATCTTTTTTTTTTCTGTATAAATATTAGATACTCAAATGAAATTGAAATAAGACGTTGTTTATTTAAAAATGTGATTTCTACAAGAATTAATTATCTCTTTTTCTTTTATTCATTCATAAAATTAATCTTAAGACATCATAGAAAATTCCCAATAGGAGGTAACAAAGAAAGACATAAGATTAGCATACGTATTAGAATTTATGTTTTGTTTACAATTTATTTAGATGATATTATATAATAAATTCTCTTCATTTAACTTGTTATCAGTTCGAATGAATAATGAAATATTACTATTAATTCACGGAAAGTATGCTTAAACTCAAGATTATCAGATCGAAAATTTACAAGTTGAAATTTCAACAATGAAAATTTCGAAAGTACCTATTTGACGTTTCAATACATATTTCTTTTTCAACCGCACTTACACTCGTATTCGAATTCAGTTATGGTGACTCTACTTAGATTTATCATTTCGTTGTTTATCATTTACATTTCAATCACTATTTGAAAAAAAATTCAAGTTTTTTTTATTTATGTATTCAAAATACAAGGAAGTTTTTTTTTTTTTATTTTTTATTTTTACAATATTTCTAAATCTTGTCTATTTAATGTTTGTAAAGTTTGACAACATCTTCGATAAAGTTCTCTTGCAACTAATTCTCTTTCATCATCATTTGCACCTGGATATGTATGTAATTGTGGAAATAATAAAACTTTTTTTAATGTTTTTATTAGTCCAAATTTTTGTAATAAAAAATCAAATTCATAACTATAATAAGGTATTATAGATTTAAATGATAAATATGATATTTTTGTTTGATTTTTTTCTTTTATAAATTCATCAGCTAATTGTCCAATTATTGATGCTTGTAATGAACAATAACCAATTGATAATATTGTTAATTGTGTACAACGTGGTATAAATTGTAATATTAAATTTGCACATGTACGAGTACCAAAATTATTCATACTTAAATTTAATTCATTTAAATAACGTAAATTACGCATTGATAATAAAAATTCTAAATCACTTGATACTAAACGACAATCCTGTAAATTAAGATATTCAAGTGGTTGAATAAGACCACTAAATAATATACGAATATAAGATTGTAAATATGTATAAGATAGATCAAGTTTTCGTAAATAAATTAAACGACGAAGTAGACGATTAAAATCTGTACATAAATTCATCAAAATATTTGGTGTTGTATAACTAAATAATAAAATCGAATTTTATCAAAATGAAAAAGACAAAAAAAAAAAAGAAGATTTCTTTTTACCGATTAGGATATAAATTGAGAACACGTTGTAAACAAAGTACACGTAAATTACGTAAATTTGATAAACTTCGAACCAATAATGTTAATTCATTTTCTGTTGTTTCCATATTTGGATCACTTAAATGAAGATGTGTAATATTCTTTAAAATAGAAAAAAATGAAGTTATTCAAAAAAAAAAAAGTATATTAATTAAATAATTACATCAGCATTTGTTAAACTTAAAACCAAATTGATATCATATGATATATTAGGTGATAGAATTTGTCGAAAACAATTATTTATCCATAATTTATGATAATGAAATCGAAATGGTGTTAATTGCTGAATTTCAAGACCAACAAGTGTATCTTCATTTATAATTTGACAATCATGAATAATTTTGATAGGTTCTGAAAAACCAAAAAAATTATATTCAATTTTATTTTCTTCTTAATTTCTCTGCATGGTTTTTTTTTGAATATGATTTCGTGACAATCTCATTCTTACTTTGAAATCGAATTAGTCTTTATAGAAATAATGTTCTACTGCTCAAATTTGAATAAAAATTATATCTTGATAACAATTAAACGAGTCAAAATAATACATTCTTAAACTTTCTGATATTGTTTTCTAGTAAATAGTTGAAAACAGTCAAATAAAATCCTAAATCTACATGACTATTCTAATAACTAAATTTTCAATAAAGAAAAAAAGGAATAAAAACATACACATGCTATGTTATAGAAAATAAAGGATAATCACTCCATGCAATATTCTACCAAAATTTGTATCATGTGCAATCGATTTATCATAATATTGATAAACATAATTGAATCCATCGATATATTTGTCTAATTTACTTTTTTCAATATCTATATTAATCAAAAATACAATTTAATTATTAATGTTGTTTTCTTTTTTCATTTAACTTACATATTCGTTTTTGTATTGAAGAACGTCGTTCAGGTGTCATCCATAATAATGGTAAACGAAAAATTTCTTTTGTCATTTGAATACCTTCGAAAAAAAAAATCATAATCAAATAACAAAAAAAAAAAACTTATATTAATTATTTGATTTTTACTTGATGAACATCGATGAAAATCAACAATCTTAAGACGTGATAAAGTTTTATGTTTATTAACTAAACCCATTACAATATAATCAACTAATGTTGAACCATCTGGTAATTTTTTTTCTAAAATTTTTGCAATTGAATCAATTTCATCATCTTGTTGTTGAGGACGTGTATTAAATAACATTGATGATAATGGTAAAAGACGATAAATTTCTAAATAAACTAATGGCCAATAAGCAATAAGAAGTTCAATTATTTGATATTCATTCATAAATATAGCTTCTCGTCCCATTGAATAAAATAAATCTGATGGTGTTGCTGTTAAAATATGTTTTTGTTGAAGACAAGAATGCAAATATCTTTCGTTTGCTATTAATTTTCGAACACATAATGAACGTAAACGTCTAAAATGAAAAAGAAAACAAAATTTATTTATTTATTTATTTATTTATTTTCTAATTCGATCAATTATATCAGCTAAAACTATATAGTCTTCAATACGATTATAAATTTGTGTAGCAATGCGAACATAAAGTTCGTTATTAATGCATAAAATAATCGCAACAACTTTATAGTGTTCAATTAAATCATTTATAAGACGAACAGCATCATCATCAGTCTTTTTATATTCTGCCAAATCAGGTAATAAAATCATTTTTAAATATGGTGCCTGCATTTCATTAGGAAAAAGATCTTTTCCTTGTATATTCCAATGTTGTTCAAGGAAATTTTTAGCCTGTTGACTTAATGTTGAATTATATTGATGAATTCGATCAAATCCACCAGCCAATAAATCAGCAAATTCAATTGCTTTTGGTATAGTTAATAAAGAAGATTCATCACGTGTACCTTGATGAAAAAATTGTAGATGAAAATGTGTCATTATATCAAGTTGAAATGACATTGGACGATAGCCCCATGATGTATTGCTTGGTTGAATTTGACTAGCAAGAATTGGATCACGAATAAAAAGAAATGAACAACCTCTTGCAGCATACATCCATTTATGAAATGTACCAATATAGAAATCACATTTCAACTGGTTTAATGAAAGTTGTGGATTCACTTGACCTGGTGCATGTGCTCCATCAATAACTACTGGTATACCATGCACATGTAATAGATCAGTAAGTTCATCGACTGGAAAAAGAAGTGCTGTTGTACTTGTAATATGATCAATAACAGCAAGACGTATATTTTCAATATCACCTTTATTTAATTCATTTTTAAATTGTTGAATAAATGCTTGTTTACTTTCAATCGGTAATTGAATATTAATCTTTCGTATTTTCATGTTACGTTCTCTAGCAGTTTCTTCAATGGTAAAAAGAACTGAACCATAAGCTAAATTTGTACATAAAATAGTTCCACCTGTTGTTGATGTAAATATTGGTAAAGGAGATTTTAATATAGCATTAATACCAGCAGTTGCATTGTCTATAAGAGCAATTTGTTCAAAATTACAATCGAGTCGATATGCTGCTGCTCGTACACAATCAACATATAAATTATATTTTGTTATACGAAACCAACGATCAGGATTTCGTTCTTGTTCAAGACGAATACGTTGTAATTCTTCATAAACAAAACGAGGACATGGTCCATAACTACCATGATTAGTATAAGCAACATCTTGATCCATTAAAAAATGATCATGACGTGTTTTTTCTCCAAACTCAATAGGATTCATGCTTATCAAAATAATAAAAAAAACTTTATCTATTCTATCTCCAAAGCAGGGTGTGTGCTATATAGGTTTATATTCAACTTAAAAGCAAATATCACATCAGAAAAAAACAAATATATCTTATCTCACCTTGGACATTTTACCGTTCTGTTTTGTGTATTAGTAATCTGTGGATATGTTGGATAATAAAAATGTTGTTCGAGTCGAATTGCCGGTATTCGTCTATGAATATAATCTTTTCGATCGAACATTGGTTTATTAGGAAGTATTGTAAACATGATAGAGTTTTATTTTCTGTCTCGTAAATAATCTGAAGTACGAATAGTCACACGTACATATATATATAGTTACTTATCAGACATAAGACCTGGACCTTATGTGCGAAGAACATATTTGTCACAAGCTATAGTAAAGTCTAAGAAGAAGAAGAAGAAGACAACAATAATGACGACAGTAATGGTAGAAAAGCGAATGATAATAAGTAATTATTTGTCATATCGACAAGAAAAAAAAGAAATCAAGGAAAAAAAAAGTAACGACGAATAATTATAGCATTACTATAAATAACAAGAAACGATATAGAGAAAAAGGTCCTATGGACTTCTTTTCTCTCTAATGGATATGATAAATATCGATCCGATAGGTCTCGTGCACATATGTATGTGTGTTGATGCACAAAGTAATATCTCCTATCTATGTTTGATATTTCGGAATAGATGATGAAAACATGAGAACATCTGATGAATATTTATTCAGGCTACTTGTTGACGCTTGTAAGCAAAGTAAAGACGATAGTATTCTAATGAGTACATTTTAGAGATAAGGATAAAATTAATCCTAAACAAAAAAGAAATATCTGATTTTTATATTCAAATGAAATATAAATTCTTGAAATGATTTTCTTAATTATTAATCTTCAAATATTAATATAGATTATAAATAAATTAATAATAAAAGTATTCAACTTAAATTTTATCTATAAATGATTTATCTGCATATTTCATAAAACTTATTATGACTTAAAATGAAGAAAAAAAAAGTACATTTCAAACTTTAATTCTTTTAATTAAACAAAAAAAAGAAAAAAAAAACAACCACAAGAAAAAAAAAGGAAAGTTTATGTCGCATGAAGTTGTTCATCAGTTAATGTTAGTTGATCAAGATTTGTTAATTTTTGATCTTGTATTGTATGAAGTATTGTCATTAAAAGTGATGGTGTACGATCTTTTTCATCACGTAATTCTGGATAATAATCTCGATAATCATATGCTCGAAAAGGTATTTCATATGTCATTAAACCTAAATCATAAGCTTTACATAATGCAACTCGAAGATTTCTTAATTGTGCTTGACATATAGAAGTTTTTAATACAGGTTCAATTTCGCCTGTATGATCATGAACAAATTGTTTTAAAAGTTTTATATTACGATAATCAAGTAAAAGATATTCATCACGACATACTGGACATGGATTTCCACGTATATAAACACCTTCTTCAACACAAAAATCACGTGTATAATGAGGAAAACGTTGATTTATTCGATTTCTAACATAATTTTTCCATACAGGTTCATTACCATAAACAGTTTTATATGCATCACTTTCCATATAACGAAGAGATGTTTCAATATCTGTGACATTATATGGTGTACCTCTTAATGAAGTTTTCGTTTTATTATGTGCTAATTGAGCTGATTGTGCTGTTGGAGCAGCTGGATCAACAGGTGTTGTTGGTTTAGCTGCATCATGAGATGATGATAATGAAAAAAAAGCACAAGGATAATTAATAAGAGAATGAAATTTAAAATAAGAAAGTCGTTGTGAAAGCATCTGAAATGAGAATATTTAAAAAAAGAAATCGTTCAGATTTTATCAAATCGCGAAATTCATTATTTAAAATCAATTTGCTATTTCTAGGCATTTTTTTAAATATGAAATCGGAAGATTCGAATTGATTTGTTGCTTACCATTTAACTTTTTTCTAATGGTTCAGCCCAATTCTTTCTTTTTTAGGCAACTTTATATTAGCTGCGCTTGCTTTTGATTGGATGTTCTACATTACCTTTCTCAAAGGATGTACTGTGATGTCGTTACTAGTAGGCGGGAGACGTTTTCTTCTTAATTCATATATTTATAGTTGTCTTTTTTTGCACACAATGATACATAACTGATTATGAACATAGCAAATGATGAAACTATTTATTGTATCAAAATTTTAGATGCAGCTATAGAATACTTTCAGTCTATATTTTTTTACTTGTATGTTTCTTTTTACTTACAATTAATTATTATGGACAAGAATATCATAATAATAATCATCATCATTCTACAGATTCAGCAATATCCGAATATTCTAAAACACCAGTGGTTGTTGAATCTTTTACAAAACATATATTAAGTTAATTTGATTTCTTTCACAATTTTAGTTATCCATAATTATTAATCTATTTAGAAACTTCGAATGTTTATCAAATTAATATTGAAAATAATAATTTATTAACTAGATAAGAATGTAAATTATTTTCCAGCTCTTTTAAGATAGAATTTGTTAAGTTGTTTTTTTTTCTTTAAAGATATTCATAGGTTAAATAAACTTATAAGAGATGAATATAATATTGAAAATGAACATGATTTCAACTATCATCTTCCTCCATCATTATTATTTGAGATGTCTTATGATATATCGTTAGAGAATCGATAAATACAAAATGATTCAATAGAAATAATCAATCAAACAGAAATCATATCTCCTCTTCTTCCATCGGAACCAATACAAATCGATCAACAATCATACGTAGCCAATATGAAAATGCTTGAAAGTGAATCCATAACCTTATTAAAAACACAATTCCATCAAGAACAACAATTAGATACAATTTCATATGATCAATTAGACAAAGATGTTTTGGAATCTTCAATACATTCTTTTCAACGCGAACAGCTTTTTAATACAGTAAAATTAATCAAAAATATATATTATTATCTTCTATTCCTTGTTCGAATATTTTAGAATGAAGATGAATATAATTTGATGACTTCAAAAACGAAATATTGAATCATTAATTTCCGTATCAATTACTAATACAGATAGAATATCAATAAGAAACCATCGAATATATTGGCTTGAGGGTGTGGGTGTAAAGATATTCTGTGCCTGCACTGACACTCACACCTAACAAATACAAAAATAAAGGTATTCTTTATGAAGATGATGATGGAGCTGTTGCATCAACAGCAGAAGCAGAATCAGCAAGGGCATCACCAGTAGCAAGACCATCACCAGCACCATCAGCAAGGCCACTAACGAGGGCCGTCAGTTGTTGTACGTGTACCGACGTCGGCGTGGTGGTGGCCAACACAGCTTCGAGAAGTGTAATCACGTTATCGAAAGTAGGTGATAAATTGATGGGGTATGGTGATGGCTGAGGTTGTTGTTGTTGTTGAAGTGGTGAAGGTGGCGACGGCGATGAAGGCCTCTATAAAAGAAAAGAAAATATGATAGATTATTAAACATTCATTTATCCATACTATGTATAGTCCTAACCTTCAACTCATCTGCATACCAACGACACATGATTAAGAAAATACCTCACAAAACTAGTTTCTATATATATATAATGGATAAAAAAAATGTTAGCAACAGAGTGAGATGACCTGATGAAAGAATTTTTTTTTCTACTGGTCAAACAGAACGCAAAGAACAATTAGAAAAAGAGAGAAAAGACCATTGATTCTCTTCTTATTTTGTTTCCCTCTCTTTCATTACCCAGTGATAGAATTTTTCTTTACTCTCATGAGTTGTAAGCGAAAAAAAAGCTTCATCTTTCTTTCTTTGTCCATGCGTTGGTAGACTGTGTACACAGATGGACTGTTCATCTATAACGTTTTTTATATTCACTTACATGGCTAGCAAGTCTTCTTCCGACAACAAGATTGTCGGTCATTCGTTGATTACTCATTATCTAGAAGCAGGAAAGACAGTATAGTTAAATAAATGAAATAAGTAAAAGAAAACAAGGGTGCAGGTGCGGGTGTGGGTGTGTAGATGTCGATTTGCTTGCTCTCCGAGTCTCACCCACATCCACTCACCACACCTACACCCACATCCTCTTCAATATTTGAGAGTCATTTAAAATACATTTTAAAACTTGAGTTTTTTGTTAAATTTGGCTACGTGGAATAGAAACTTCATAAAATTAATTCAGAATCATATCGTAATATACTTTTGACATGTTCATAAGACAATCAGTATTGTTTCGAATTTATCCTAATTAAAAGTCAGAGTTAACAACAATGAGGAAGATAAAGAAAAAAAGAACAAACGCAATCATACGAAAAGACCAGAATTAAACTTATTATGATTATCTTTTCACTTTCTTTCAGATCTCCAAGAGTTTTCATCAGTAGATGAAAAACGAAAAATTAATAAACAATATAACTTTCTCCACAAAAGAAGAAAGAAAAAACCATTGATAGTTATCATAAACAAATGAAAAATAAAACAAAGGAAATCATTTTGTTCCTCTTTTTCCATCACGTTGTAAAAACACGAGTTGAAACATTTTCAGCATATGATGAATGATTATAAAATGTTGAAGATAACTAATTGATTAATAAATTGTTGGTGAAGCAACAGTTGTTGAATATGTTACATGAAATATATGTGGAAAAGGACGACATTTTTTAGCTTCGACATTTATTTTTGTTTTGATTTTTAAAAGATTATTATGATCAGCTACAGTAGTTTTTATCATTTCAATTGACTGACTAACAACAAAAATTAAATTTGCTCAATCAATTTGAGATCTTGTATTAACAATATAAACAAGAAGAAAATTACCATATGGTCGAAATAATTCATGAATCTAAATTTTAAATAATTTATTAATAAATAAGAAGAAAAATTGTTCATTTTTTTTTGTTTTACTTATTTTTCTGTTACTTGAGTTGAAAGATATTCCAATAAACATTTCTTGATCATCCGTATAACCAGTGAAAAAATAACATTCTTTACTATATTGTCATAATATCAAGAATTGTTCCTGTTATTATTGATATTGGTGGACTAGTAGTTGAAATAATTCGAGATTTTTCTGTTTTATCAATTGCATCTCAAAATGATTTTGGTTTTGATGTTGACTTGTTATCTTCGTTTTTTGCTAGTTCAACAACTGGTGTTACTGATAGAGTTGTAGTTGAAAAAGAATTCATTTCAGTTTTAACCCACAATGCACATGTATCCGTATAAGTAGCAAGGGTTGCTGTTATACCAAGTAAATATAAGATTATATTCTATAATAATTTACGATTAACAACTAATTTTTTTCTTTTTTTTTATAGTTCTTCAAATTTATATTGAACATCGATTCGCAGATAATTGTCAATTTGATTGACATATATCATTTTATTTAGTTGTAACATATGCTATTGGAATTACTATTATACTATTAAGTATTATTCAAACTGTTCTAAAAGCTAAAGTTTCTATAAATCGTGTTAGACAAAAAATTAAATTAGCTTCTACTATTGGTCTATTGTGTATTATGTGTCTTTGAAGCAAACTTTTTTTCTTTCTCTTCATTTGATTTGTTGCTGGATGTTACCCATGTAGCCGGTTGTTGCATTATTATATAATTATTGCCTTTATTTTCCATTATAATGGCAATAATTACATGATAATGCAACAACCGAGTACATGGGTATCGAGTATTTCGTTAATTGGCATATTGTACAGTTTATTGTTGCAAATCAAAAAGATTATTGTCATCGAGTTCTTTATCATTTTTCATTGTGGGTTAATTTTAGCTACTTTCTTTTTCTAAATTGCAACATGTAGTCATTTATATTTGAAAGATACCAAAACATCACAATACACTACAGAATCTTGAAGAATTCGATTTTGATTTGAAATTGACCTCTTTTGTTCGTTTTGGATAAACAGTATAAATATTATTGAAATTTTATTTTCATTGAGAATCAATTGAAGAAACTGATGATAAAACTGAATAAATATTTTCTTTTTAGCTTAATCCTTTTAGACAGATTTTACGTTCAAATCGTTACTCTTTCGTTTGTTCTAAAACTATGAACGCAACTAAGTCTTGATTATATTCGAACAATATTTTCTTCTTTTTTTTTTTCGATGAGAAAATATTTTATACAGTTCAGCGAGTGTACCGATATAATTAAATATTTTGTTTAAATATATTTATCATGGGAATGATGAATATTAGTTTCAATCGACATTAAATACCTGTCAAATATCCTATGTTGATTTTCATACAGATTCAAAGATGAAATACGAATAATTGAAATGAATGGATGATTAAAAAAATCGATCCTAGAGATGTAAACATGATCAATAAATTTCATAGAAAACAAAATGTTATTGCTAGTTTTTCGTGCAGAATTGATATAAACATTTATATAGTTAATCTTTATTCATTTCTTTCTATTCATTTTTTTCTTCTTTTCTCTATCATTCTCGCCATTTGAATATATGAAATGTCTTTATCACCAACGCAAGATTTACTCGATCGAATCGATCGTTTACATTTAATGCTTGTCAGTGAATTACCCACTCTATCATTAACGAATTCACAACATCCAACATCAATTCTTCCTCGAATTACGATAAACTCTGTTGATCCTTTATCAATTACTAATATTGCAAATAGTGTACGACCTGCTACGTTTAAATCAGAAGCAATTTTAATCGATGAACTTCAACAATATATTCAAAAAATGGAACGAGAACGAGAAATACTTCTTCGATCTTATAGTATTATTCTTCAACTTTTAAAACATGATAATACCGATAATGAAACAAATTTAATTGGTTCTGATTATCCTGAACTTTTATATAATGATTAAATTTTAATTTCTATCACAAAAATAAATAACATTTCTATTTAAAATGTAGATTTTTCTAATAATGAACTCTCTTTTTTTTTTCTTTATAATTAACCAATGTAAAACACAATTAAAATCATTGAAAAAGTCTGCATATCAAGTATTTCTTCTTTATAGATTTATTCTACACTTAATCAATCGACTGCAATAGGATAGTTTGTTTTATTTGTATGAATAAGTAGTATAATCAACTCCTGTTTAAGATATCCATAATGACTACACATGCGACTACTAGGAAGGTATTCAAAAAAAGTGGAAAAAAACGAAAGATACAATACATATATTCCCATGTCATTCAAACTACTCGGAAACCGACGATTAACCGCGGTTCACCAGCTGAATTTTTTTTCGTATCACAATGGATCAATTTTTCTTTACTCTTACAAAATTGACAAATTTTGACCGAAATCATGCCGTTTCTATATTGTCGATGCGCTGAAGCCGATTATACTAGCCACATCGCTAATATTCCCATAGTTTTCCAGTTTGAGTTTTTATTAAATATGACACCATAAAAATAGTCATCCGTTACACGACTTGATCAATAGGAAAATATGTGGTGCCACTTGATAGAATTTACTGTTGCATGATTAAGTCGATTTTTTTAAAGTTGGGATCAACTTTTTCAAGACTAAAAATATTAATTTAGTAATGAGATAATAAAAAAAAATGAGAAACGAAGGAAAACCTAGTCTAACCGTCGATTTTGATAAAAAATCGACGACGTGGGTTGCCACCACAGAAGTGCACTTGTCACCGAGATGTAAGTAAACATAAATATGTATGATCTTGATGGTGCATAGATGAAAAAACAACGAAAGAAAAAAAAATTATAAAATACACAATACAAAAGAGTTTATTATGGTTTTCTTTTTGTATGAGCGACACAAGGATTGATCACTGTACAAAATCAGAATATTTTTAGACACTGGTCTTTTAGTTTATATTCATAAGTAGACTTTTTCTGAGTACTGTAAGACGATGACAACTACTACTGAACAAACAGTTATTAATATGGAACAAAAACCGGCAGTAGCACATACTCTTGTTATTAATGAACCAATAAATTCACAACAGGTATCACTAGAAACAGTTATTGCCAATGAGCCGAAAAATTTATTAGCAACATCAGTAGAAAAAGTTGCTGTAACGGATGTAACAACTGCAAAGCCAGTAGAAGCAGATAATCTTATTGTCGACGATCCAAAAAATGTGCAAACAACAGAATCAGATAAATTACCGTCCAGTGGTGCTAGTAAAAAGGCATTGAATAAAAAACTTTTTGGATCAGGTATATCACTTGCTACTGTGGTTCTAGTCATTATTCCACGTAAGTCATATGATTTTCTGTGATTATTATTCTCATAATATTTTACAAAAAAGAAATTGGATTCTATATTTTAATATTTTTAAATTAAGAAGACTTTTTTCTATACTTATCATTGATTTTCAAAACATTAGACGTAAAAAAATAGAAAAATTTCTGATTTTGATATGTACTTGTATTTGATAGTTTTACAATTAATTGTTGGTTGACGTTATGCAGACAACTGCCCTGCTAATTGGCGTATACCGCATTATTTAGTTGTATCAGGTGTTATCGGACTTACTCTTATTATATTAGATATTATTTTTGATCTTTTGGTATCGTATGCTAAATCGAAGTTAGATGATACTACTCTTCGAGCTTCTCATTGTGGAGCTTGTTGTGGCCTTTGAATAGTTATTATCTGTCTGATCCTATTTCTCGTTGGTTGGTTTATTGCTGGATGTATTTGGGTATTTCGAGTATGGAGTAAAATTCAGTACAACGATCCACATGGATTTGATTATTGTCATCCGATATTATATCGTTTTGCATTTTGGCTACTTCTTCTATCAATTATATATATATATTAGTCTCCTGTTGTTATACATGTGCCCGAACACCTAAAGAAATAATGAATAAGAAAAAAGATCCTGCTATACTTGTATCAATAGTGGAAGCATAATTTTAAGACTTTTTAAAATCTCATTAAAACGTTTGATTTTGTTCTTTTATTATAAATAATTTCTCGTTTTTCATAGACTCAATCATTTACATTCTCTCACTATATCAGTAAGAGAAAACATGATAGAAAAAAAAAAAAAACAAGAATATACATGAAAAATTTATGTACACAATCAAAAGCAAAAAGTAAAAACATTCTATATAATTTGTTTTGTATATTTCATTGAAATATCTTTATATAAAAGATAATTAACCAACTTATGTGATATAGGTAAGTTTAAAATATCTTGTCGTTTATGTCCACAATTGGTATTTATTGTTAGTCGACACAAATATTTTAATGATAATGGTTGACTTGTGAGTAATGTTGTAACTGTTGAAAAAAGACGAACATCACCATTACGATTACTAACAGCCATAGTTTGACTGTCAGATGTTATTGCAACATAAAGAACATTGTTTTCTGTTTGTTCAAATATCGTATTTGATGAATGATTTGATACTAAAGGAAACCAGCGTACTTTACTAAAAAAAAAAGACGAAAATTATTTTATCGTACATATTTATCTCAAAAATTCTTACTTATCATCACAAGCAGTAACTAAAAACTGATTAGATTTTGTAACAGCAACAGATCGAACAAATGCCCCATTATCACCGCCAGCATAAATTTTTAATGGTCTTGGAATTTGATGTGCAAATGCTTTTATAATTTCACCAGTTATTGTTGACCACATTAAAACACGCGTATCATAAGAAGCAGTTACTAAAAAGGCACTAAAAATCAAAGGAAAAAAAATAAGAAGAAATATATTAAATAGATATTAATATTTAATTTACCTATCCGATGAAAATGCACAATCAACAACATTATGTAAATGTCCATCTAATTTAAATAATTCTGTCCATGTTATTGTATCAAATAATACAACAAATTCATATGGACCTACTGCACATAAAAGTGATTCATCTGGTGACCATTTTACTATATTGATCACATGAGTCCATTCATTTAATGTTTTATACATATTACCTAAGATTAGAAAAGAAAATGTAGATATAAACAGATGTCACTATTAAAATAATTTTAAATACCAGGTAAAAAGAATACCGGTTATTTACCAAAATAAATAAATAAATAAAACAACAAAAAAAAGAATAATATAGTTTAGAAATCAAACATATCCAAGATCTTTTTAAGGTGAGATTAAAGTTTTATTTTAATTGAAGAATAATTAGTACGAATTAACGATTATACAGAATATGAATGATATGAACAAATTATAATCGAAATTTTATTCCTATAGATATTGTTCATTGTAGACTATTTAATTTGCTTTAAAAAACAAAGTAAAAATTGACGAATGCGTTTTTTTCCCGAATGAAATAACAATTCTTTTGAATTTCGATACCATAAATTGTACTAATAGATTTTAAATTCTTAGTTCGAAATAAATAAAAAAAAAAGTAAATATAAGATTTTTTTAAAGGTAATTCATCTCGATAAAATTGAAATACTATTTAAAAAAAGCTCCACATTTTGTATTGATAATAAACTTGAATAAAAAAAAACAAAATTTTTAGTAAATAAAAAAAATAAATATTCTATTCGAAGACTTTTCAATAGAATTTCTTGTGAAATTAATTCTGACTTCAATCGATCGAAAAATAAAATGAAATCGAATAAAAATCACCATTCTTCATTTAATATTTATTATATAAGGTTTTTTTTTCTTACCATCATCAAGTAAATCCCATAATTTAATAGTTGTATCATGTGAACATGATGCTAATTGCATATTACATGATGTAAAATCTAATCCACATACAGCTAATTGATGATCTTCAAGTATTAATGTTAATTCTCCAGTATCAACATTCCAAATATTTATTTTTCCATCAGCAAGACCCGTAGCAAGAAATAGATGTTTTGTAAAATCATGTCGACGATTGACAACTGATAAACTTAAACGACGTTGATCAAGTGATGCACGTCGTGTTGTTATTGGTATAGATAAATCATTTTTATTAAGTAAAATTGGTTTCGTTATAGAATTTAATTCTGATACTCCTTTACCAAATGCTAATGACCATATTGCTGATGTACAAATAAATTTATTGTGTAAATATAAATTATCATCAGTAATAGTTTTTGAATGCCAATTTGAACAATAAAAGACAAGAACACAATATTGATCATCAATATCTTGTTTTGATATAGCCAAATATTTCGAACATGGTGAAAATGCTATTCTCGATACATTATTTGGTAAAAAAATAGGTGAATTACAATAATCTTGTAATAATTGATTGACAGGTAATAAAGTAGGTTGCACTATTAAATAGAATTATAGTTGAAAAATATTAATTTAATATATTAAATCATACCTATTAAGGAGTTAAACATAGATTTAGAACAAAGGGCAAAGTTCTTCAATGAAAAAAGATGCACTAATAAAAATATCTATAATAAAAAAAATACAAACTCGTAGAACACGAAACAAGTGACACCTTTCGAAGACGAAAAATATTGTCTATTGCTTAAATTTTTTTTTCTTTTATCGTCGTAATATTATAGTTTACAACTAGTGCATGTTTATTTTTAGATAGCATATCATTTCACATCTATTTATTATGCAACGATTATTTGCATTTCTTGTCGTCGTTTTCATTACTAAAAGTAATGATGTTTCGGGTGATTTTCGTCCTCCAGCTGTACCATTAATCGTATTTAGTCCTCATATATCAGGTGAGTCATATTTAGACGTTATTCAAGGTAAAAAAAACAAAAAAGAAACGCATATCGTGACACACCTCTCACAATAAACTATTGACTTCACATTTTTATAAGCGAATCGTTTCCCATAGGTGAATTGTCGTTTTTTTTTTTCATCTTTATTATCTGAAACAATCATAAAAAACCCTTGCCCGATTAATATACTGAGTCAAGTGCAATTTATATAAAAGATAGTTCTATGACTGTTAGATAAGATTGACTGTCTATCGATTCTTTTTGAAGTATTATGTGGGTCAGGATTACAGTTTTATCACTCATAAAAATTAAAGTGCAACAAAAGAGAAAGAATATACGAAAAATATTTAGCTAAATAGATGTCGCAAGAATTCATAATAACTTTACTCGTTTTGATATACTGTATAATATAAACACAAAAATTTATAATAATAAAAGAATAGTATACTTGTTGAAAAGCAAATAATAAATAATTTTTACAATACTAACAAATTTCTTCACATACTTAAATACAATAATCTGACAAGGAGATATTAATAGCTTTCGAATTTATATTCTACATTAGAGATGAGGATCGGTTCGAATTTTCATTTGTTGAAACTGCGTCGAAGAAATTTCAAACCGAACTGATCCTATCTCTATTATGAATAAAAGTAAAGTTCGATGAGATAAGAGAATCCTTTGATAAATATGGTGCTGCGCAAAAGTAGCAGTTCTCTCATGAAGTGCTACTGATCTTTATGATGTTGAATTGATATTTTGGATGCATGAGTATGAAGCACCAACTTGCCTTCTGTCAGTTCCACATGTACTGGATTAATGATTCACATAGGTTCTTTCCCCAATGAAAAATATATTCAGCGAAAATATGTTTCTATATTTGTCCTAACATGGTTAAGATAATGTGATCACGTGAGTAAGAGGATATCTGAATCATAACTCTAAAAGTAATATTGTGAAGAAAGAATAATAGCACTTCATTGGAGGCAACTACTTTTATCCAAGACTGTATCTGTTTGTTTGTTTTTGTTTTTGAAAAAACGAATATGTGTAAAAGGAAAATTTCAAGTCATTTTGATGATAATTAAATCTATCTATCATCAATATCTTTTATTTCAACTTTTCAAAAAATATCTTGTTATAGATAAAAATGAAATCAAACTGTGATCAATATTCTCTCATGAATAGTCATGTGAAGAAAAACTAAGCTTCATTTAATCAAGAGAAACAATCTTTTTATTATGTAACAGATGCGCATAAAATTTCAATGTTTTAGAATAATATTTTATTAAATATCTTTTTTTTTTTTTTATAAACAGTTTGGTCTTGTTCGGACAATCTTACCGATTCTGATACTGTTCATTGGAGTGGATCACCTCTTGCATTTTATGGTTTAATTGATATTGATAATTCTCAAACATATCGGTTTCTTGGTACTCAACCATCAAATATTCCACCTTTAATACAAAATAATGTTGTTGTACAACCATGGCGTACAATTTATAAATTTTCTACACCAACAAATACAATTGAACTTATCGTATCATTTAGTCAACCAACATCAATTGAAGATCCTTATACTTATATAACATTTGATGTTCGTACACTTGATCAAAAAACTCATAATGTTCGAATTTATTTTGAAGAAAGTTCAAGATTAAGTATTAATGATAAAAATGAAAAAATTTCTTGGAATCGAATCGATGGTGATATAACTATATTAACTATGAATAGTTATAATCAAATTCCATTTGGTATACGTGGTGATGCAACAAGAAATAATTGGGGTTATGCTCATTTAATAAGTTCAAATAAAAATACAACAAATGGTTATCAAGGTTTTGGTGATAATCTTCGTCAAGCATTTGTTAATCATCAAATAATGCCAAATGATGATACACGAAAACCACGTCATGCTGATGATCAATCACCTTCATCAGTATTTATAATTAATTTAAATCAAGTTACATCAACAACAATTTCATCATATTTAATATTTCTTTATGATGATCTTTATTCAATGTTATATTTTGAAGATTGGCAAATACCATGTTGGCGTATTGAACTTAATAATAATGTAACATTACTTATAAATGAAGCTGTTTCATATTATCAATCAAATATGGCTGATATTACAGATTCAAATGAATTATTAATAACATTATTAACAAATACAGGTGGTACACAATATTCATTACTTGCTTCACTTGTAACACGACAAATAACAGGTGCATTAACACGTACATGGTCAAATAAATATAATCGTCCACAATTATATATGAAGGAAATTTCATCTGCTGGTGATATTAGTACAGTCGATGTTATTTTTCCTTCATCACCATTTTTTCTTTGGTTACATCCAGAAATCTTACGTGATATGCTTATACCAGTACTTGCTTATGCTAATAATGAAACAACTATTGATTATAATCTATCATGGGCACCTCATCATTTGTCAGTAAAATTTAACTTTTCGTTTTTTTTTTTTAATAGAAAAAATTTATCTTTTCAGAGGAACATGGCCAGTTTGTGATATTTTACCTGATGAACAAGAACAAATGCCTATGGAAGAATCAGCAAATATGTTATTAATGCTTGCTGGTATTGTACAAAGACTTGCAAAGACTGATTTTCTTCAACCTTATTGGAATGTTATGGAAATTTGGGCACAATATCTTAATAGTACATTACCAGATCCAGGAAATCAACTTTGTACAGATGATTTTGTATGTAATTTTTGTTTAATTTTTACAAACAAAAAAGAAAGCAAATTAGATTATTCTTTTGATTTTTAGGAAGGACCATCACCACATAATTGTAATTTAGCATTGAAAGGTATTTTAGGTTTAGGTGCTTATGCAATTCTTTTGAATTCTACTGGTCAAACACAACGTGCTACGATATATATGAATCAGGCACAAGAACATGGTATGAAATTTTAAAAAGTCTAATTTTCTTTGCTATTATTTTTCTTTCTTTGTTTACAAAAAAAAAGCAAATTATTGGATGCAAGCTGCACGTGATGATGAAAATTATCGTCTTCAATATGATCTACCAAATACTTGGTCACAAAAATATAATCTTATCTATCAATCAATTTTATCATTAAATTTATTTCCATCTGATGTTGCTAAACTTGAATCAAATTATTATGCAACAAAAATGCTTGATTTTGGTATTCCACTTGATTCTCGTTCGAAATTAACGAAGACTGATTGGACATCATGGATAGCTGCATTTAGTAATGATCAACAACAAGAAAATGAAATTTTTAGTAAAATATATAAATTTGCTAATGAATCACCAGATCGTATACCATTTAGTGATTTTTATAATGCATCTAATGGTCATGTATTAGGTTTTCGTGCACGACCAGTTATGGGTGGATTATTTATTCGAGCATTATTAGAAAGTCCACTTATAGAAAATATTTATATTCAACCGACAAAACCTTCACAACGTCGTGGACGAGTAAACAAATGTGAACTATTATAATTATATATCAATTGCATTTATTGACAAATGATTCATTTATTTCTTTTGATTAAATTAAAAGGACAAATTTTACTTTTATTAGATTATTCTCAAGTAATTTTTTTGTGTGATATATTGTATCGAATTTATATTGGTTCAAATGTTTTTTTTCCACGTAGTATACTAAAGAAATATTGAAATAAAATTAACATGTGTGTATTCCTAAGAACCAGATTGATAAACCATCCGTTTCAGTCCAATAAAAGCATTAGTATAATGGGGCAAAATTCCTTTTTTTTTCATTTATGGAATTTTTCTTTTTTTACTTATCAATGTAGAGAATGTCATATACACTCGATCTCTGAAATAGAAGTGAAACTTGTAATTTCATATTTTATAAAGTAGAAAGTTTCCAAAAGAAAAAAGATAATTCTAATAAAGAAAAAGTCAAATACAAATTGAATGATAATCATTATCACTAGAATGTTCACGTACTTCATTTTTTTCCATTCATTTGAAAGAAATAATAGTAGGAAATTTATGTAAATATTCAGTTTTTGTTTTTATTTACACATTGATAAGTTTGATATTGGATTCAACTAGATTAAATACATAATTCTATTCTTGTATATGATTCAGACTTGCAATATTATGATCGATTAGTAATTGAAGATGATATAGTCGAGTAAGAATCTTCACCGAGTAAAATACTCATATGTTTCACACACAATACACATGATGCATTTATATGGTGTCTTCAATATTCAAATTGATCGTTTAATCGAATATATTGGTCATCTAAGCAAATTCGAACAAAATGAAGTTAATATTGTTCTATTTCATCAATAAGTCTTTCGATTATAAGGTTTCTTCATTATAGATAATCAGGCATGGAAATACAGTGTAGCATTGGTGGTCCATCCACAGGAGGAAGGTATCAAGGTTGTGACATCTCTTATCCATAATCATTAGAAAATTGTATTATCTTTATCAGTTAAAAGGGTGAGAAACGAACATATAGTAGAGGTTTGTTAAGTTTTTTCCAAAAATACAGAATAAAATGAAGTTTGGTTCGAACAAGCTATAAAATACAATATAAATTTTCTTTCACTTTGTGAATGACCGTATAAACATAGTCTACCTTAAAAAGATCCGTAATCTTCGACTCTAGCACTATGCTACAAGGTCTATTACATCTAAAGATCTTTATTTTTGGTCATTCATGACCAACATAACTGCCTTCGACATAAATACAAAAAAAGTGCATTCTACGACGCTTTTATTCTTTGAAAAAACATGATAAAAGATAGAAGAATTTTTGATCAGCTCGCAAAATGTTTTTACTTAGCGAAACAGGATTAGTTATACATGCTTTGATTTCTAAGAATCATGACATTGGTGAATCATCATTAGTGTCAATGCTTTCGGAGTTAGTAATACTGAGAAACATTTTTGAATTCAATATAATGGTAGTTTTCCTCCTCAAAAGACTGGACAGTAAACTTCAGTTTTTTATCATGCTATTCGATGTTTATAAAATAATTCTGATCAACACGGAACATTTCAATGCAAGCTGCTTCTATTTTCTCACTGTTTTTTGATCGTTATATCTCCATGTGCATCTCTGTTCGATTTTAAAATGTATTTCTTCTATACGAAAACTATTAATTGAGTTGTATTGTATGTGCAGAAAAGTACACGGATTGAATTCTTTATCTTTGCTTTACGCTAGATTTTCATGATAGTCTATTGCTCTGTACATTCCATTATTGTCAATAAGAATCAGTCGAATAGAATTGAAGTAAACAAGAACTCGACTTATAATATTTACAGATATATTGGCGTTGAATCTGAGAACTGCCGAAGCTAATCTGAAATTCACACATTGGATACATCTAATGTTAGATCGAGAAAGAAGTTTTCATCAAAAACCTCCTTTAGTTTCTAGATAGATGTTGAATTTGAATTCTTGCTGGTGAACTGTGTTGAAACATTGTAATTTCAATTATTACAATCATCGATGAAGAAATTAAAGTTGGATGCGTGAAGATATGAATAAGTTTCTACAGAAGGACAGCTTTGATAGAAAATTATCCATAAGTGTTTGAGTTCGAACTTAGTTCGTTCATTGATGATTTGTTTCAACACAGTTCGTTAACAATAATTCGAATCCAACATCTATATAGAGATTACTGATGGTTTTAACGAAAACATCTTCCCTGGTCTGACATTGGACGTAATCTCTGTTTGAAAGCTAACATATATAAATATAATACAAGTATACTAAATATTCCATTAAAAAAATAGAAACATGTTGTGACAACTTACGACACCTTTTGATCATGTCTTTTTCTTTATATTGTGATGGATATAATGCGGATAGATGAATTTAACTTTTTTTGCTATTAATTTAGACTCCTTTCAAACGATTCTCAAGATAACATATCAGCATATTCCTATCTATCTTTTGGTTTATAAAGAAAGCCAAAGGTTTTGATGATAACTAGCTATTAAGTTTTTAGTTTCGTATATTCTCATGGTAAAATATATATATACCTTTTGAATGAAATTCTTAATTTTTGTTTTTTTAAAACAAAAAAAAACAATTCAATTTTATTATTGATTGTGTACGAAAATTCTCAAAAATCTAATCGTTCATATGTATCCATCATCTTTGATAGACTAAAGAAAAAAAAATGCTTGTTTCATCATTATATTCTTTCTAGATTGACAATGGTCGAATCAGCTAAATCTGGTGATAAAAAAACGAATACATCATTTTATGGTATTGTATTTTGTACTCTTGTGATCATTCTTGCAAGTATTTTAATTCAAACACGTAATTCACCACCTGTAAACGAATATCTTCCTAAAACAATATCATCAGCAAAACCATATGAAACATTTGAAGAATTTTATCCACATTATCTTCGTGAACATAGTCAAAAAACGACTCGACAATGGCATTATGTTGGTACAACTCTTGTTATTATCAGTGTTTTAATAAATCCTATTCTATTAATTCCAATATCAGCTGGAGGTTTAGCTGCTTATTCTGTAGTACCATTCTTTCGTCACATATCAACTGGTTTATATGAAATGGGATTGTTCATGATAATTTATCTTATTGGCAGTAAATTATTAACGCGTTCGTTTAAAAAAGCATTTCTACCACTGCTATTAGGATACGGTTTTGCATGGATTGGCCATTTCTTTTATGAGCATAATAAGCCTGCAACATTTATTTATCCATCTTATAGTCTTATGAGTGATTTTCGAATGATATATGATGCGGTAAAAGGACAATTTTTTTAAGAATTCATTTTTCTACTAAATAAAAATCTATTGGTGCTAAATTTGTATTTGTTCTTTTGTTTAATAATAATAAGGATGTGGGTGGGAATGATTCAACTACTCACACCCTAATTTGACTAATCAGTCTTCTTGTTGAAACCAATAATAATTAATTCAAAAATTGTCGTCATTGATAAATGTGAACCAGAAAAAATGAACCTTGTCTAATAGATTTTGTTGCTTTGCATTTTTTACAACGAAAGACATATCCTGAAAATAAATTATTAAATAAGAAGCGCGATTATTTTAAGTAAACATACCATCGATTTCTCTTTTACTTATGCCCATGTACCGTTCGTTACAACCTTTAGGACAGGACTCATCATCATTGGGCTTGGTTGATAAGAGTTACAGGAGACGCAATAATTTGAATAGTACTTTCTGTTGTTGATGTTAACGCATGCAATTTTCTGGTGTTTATGTTGTCGATATCTTCGATATTTATGTTAATATCCATTATTAATACGACTTTATAGTAAATTAAAATTGAGAAATTTATGATAGAAGGGCAGTGAAAACATCAGCTTTATATATGAATATTTTTTATTTCATGCAAATTTAATTTCTTTTGAAAACTCCACTTATTACTTTATTATTGATAGAAATTATTATTTATGTGTTATCAATATGCGACTCTTTTTTTTTTATTCATCTTCCTCCTATTACATCAAGGAGTTATACTATTTTATTAAAAACTTCATCTTAATTAATAGAGCGATATGTCTTTCATAAAACATCTATAAACAGTGTTCTCATAGGACATCTATATGTCTTATTCTCTTTCTTTTATTTACTGGTTAGACACCGACCAGTCGATTTTTTCTCGTTCTGTACATATATATTATTGATGATGTGACTAAACCGCAGTAATACCAAAGAATATTTTCTAATTTGCAGATACAAAGAAAAAAAAACGAAATGAATTTATCAACTAATGATCTATCATTTTTAAGCGATCGGTGAGAGAGAGAGAGAAAAAGGGAGATTTATTTCTGTAATATTCTTTTTTATTATTATTATCAACTATAGTTCTCGACAACGATCAATGATATCAGCTGGTTTTCAATTATCGTCATCATCAGTTAATTCACCATTTGAACAATATTCATCAAAATTACCAGCATCGGTTCGTGGAGCACTCAATCATACAGCAGGTTGTATATAAATGTTGGAATCAATGTTGTTAAACAGACAAAATAAGCTCATATTACTCTCGATAGATTGTAGAAATAATTCTTTTTGTCTAATTACAATATTTTAAATCCAAATACTGCTACTATATGATATTCATTTTGTATTTCGCATAGTGTTTGTTTAATGGAAAAAATTGTACACGAAAGGTTTCATAGGCTCAGAAACTGAATTATAGATCGCAAGAGTTCTAGTATGTCTGTAGAGTGTCCGGAAAGTTACCCACTAAAAAGAAAGCTATACATCTTCACTGCGGTTAAACGAAATCAAGTGGCTTTTCTTATTGGTCATAGATGAGACTTGCAAGTTTTTATTCATCAAGTTTAAGTTTATGAATACTCTTGAAGTCTATAACTTTTGGATCCAATAGATAAAAAATTCCTTTTTTCGTCATTCAGGTGTCCTTCTCTTACTTTATAAATATTTACATAAGGCTTTTTGAAAAATGAGAAACATTAGTCTCGAATTTGATGACTACTGGAACTCTAAAATCATGACAATTTTATCAGATGACTTCTTATCAAACTTTTTTCATAAGCAAGGAATGAATTGCTTTGAAGAAACGTATCAATTACTTTAGATTTTCCAAATGTGCCATGCAAATATTTGTAAATTAAGAGAAGGACACGTGAATGGTGAAAAGTCCAGAGTAACGAAAAAACAAACCGTTTGTTTTAATGAATTGTATTCGAAAGTTATAGTTTTTTGGAAATATTTATAAACTAAATCTTTCTGAATAAGAACTTGCAAGTCTCCTCTATCTCCATAAGAAAAAATCACTTGATTTGGTTTAACTGCAGTAGCAAATGTATAGCTTTCTTTTTGGTAGGTGCATTTCTGTATATCCTGTATATAAATTGTTATCAGCCAATTTGCTTATTAAATCTCGCGAAAAAATCTTGTATTGGTTGACCATATTTAAAATTAACAAAGTGTAAATTTTGAATTAAAGTTTTGATGAGTATAAAGTGAATATCACAAAAAAAAAACAGTGACAATTCATAAGCTGTCATTTTCATCAATGAAAAGATTGCCGATAAGAAGTAGTTTCATATAAATTTGATTGTTTATTAATATAAAGAATAGATCTGTGATTTCGTTTGATTTATTTTTTTTTATGCTAGAAAATAAAAATCTAATGAGGAAAAATATCCAAATGTCGAACACTGTTCGATTTTATTTTATAGTTATGAGGAGGTTCTTGTAAGACTAAGAAGAGCTTAAAATGATTCGGACTCATAGCCTACTGACAAAGAGTAACAGCCGTTTTAATACAATTTTTATGAAAAAATAAGATTTTTCAAACGGTCATTACCCTTCATCAGATCCGTTTCAAGCTCTTTTTAGCCTTATAAAGGTCTAATCATAGCCATCATATGAAATCGAACGATATTCGACAGTTGTATATGTTGAGATGTAAGTTACTAGCTCATTCTATTCTCGAAATATTGACATTACACATTTACTAATCTATATAATTAATTAATCAAATAATTTTAATTAATTTCATAGATATTTCATTATTAAGTGCTCGATTTTCACGTAATGGTTATTGTTGGCTTGTCTCAGGTCAAACAGCTTATGTTTGGCTTATTTCTGGTTCAAATCGTATAACTGTAAATGAATGATTTTATTATTTCAATTTCTATTATAATTTAATTTCTTAGGATGCTATTATTCATCAAGAATTAAAATTACCTGAATGTGCTCTTGGACAACAAGCAAATTTAATAGAATTATTTTCAATAAATGCTGATGATGATGATTATTGTTCATGTTTAGCTTTAACATGTGATGGTTATGCGCGTTATTGGCGAACTATTGTAAGACCAAATGATTATTATGATGTTAAACTTGAATTTGATCAAATAGAACTTTTATGTCATTTTAAAGTAATAATTCAAAAAAAAAAAATAATAATTTTCTTTTTACAACATATTGGTTTTTTTTGTTTTTGTTTCAGGATGATATTTGTATTTGTGGTTCTTATTCAGGAAGATTATATACAATTCCATGTAATGCATTATGTAATAAGGTAAAATATATAATATATAAAAGAATTTTATTTTTATAATAATATATTAAATAGGCTTATATTCGTCCATCATCATCATCATTACTTTCATCGATTGGTTTTGGTTTAAAATCTATGTTATTTGGTACAAGTCGTCAAATGAAAGATAATGAAATTCTTCGTTGTCTTCATTCATTAAAAACTGATACATCAACACAAACAACAATAACAATGAATGTTGATTTAATATCATTAACAGATCAACATTTATATTTTTGGTATTTAGCAGAAAATGATATTCAAGTAAAATTTTTTTTTTTTGGATTGATTGATATATAAAAGTTAATTTTTTTCGTTTATAGCTTGTACATTCAATTGATCTTCAAGAAATATTTGTTCATGAAGCAAAGAAAGATCAAGTTTGTAATTGATTTAATTTATTGAATAATAATCAAAAATTGTCTTTAATTTAGAAATCAAATGAAAATCATCGAGATGTTTCATGTATTTCATTAAGTGTAACACAGTATGTTATATAGTTTTTATTTAAAGAATTAATGATAAAGAAAAAAGAAATTTTTTTTTTCTTTTTTGTAGAGAAACAATTTATATTCTTGCTGTTCATCATAGTACACAAGATTATCGTTTAATGTTAGGTAAAATTAATAAGAGAAAAATTTTTTTTTGAGAGTTTTTGCTATTTTTTTGTTCGTTTTAATAATAGGTATATTTTCGTTAAATCATTCGGGTGTTCAACTTGTTTCATTTATTTTTCTTACTAATCATCTTAATATTCGTGTAAGTTTTCATAATTTAAATATTTTAAATTAGAAAGAAATTTTTGAGAATTAGATTCAAGTTTGATTTTGAAAATAATTATTCGTTCTTTAATTCATGATGGATAAGTTTCATATTTTAATTTAAAATTTTTGCGAATATTTCACAGTAAATCTACTAGAGATCCATTTTGAAAAGTGATCTTTAAAATATTTGATTAAACATCTTTACATAGATATTTATCATCTAATGCAATCACACACTGGGTAAAACCAACAGGTCATTGTGTAGTGTGATTCTGCTCTATGTTACTAATTCTTTGACTACAAGTGAGTGGAACTAGGTTTTTTTTAGCGCGGATCTCTAGCAATGTCCAAGACTGAGAAATAGAAACTCTCAATCGAGCTATGATAATTTCTCGGAGTAACGAAAATTGATTATTAGTTTCTTGATACATTCATATTCACAAATTTCTTAACGGATATGAATGTGAGAACAAAAAAATATCATGAATATTGTATTTTCTTGGTTTAAACAATCATAAAAGGTTTGATCGTGATTCCGGTGAGACTGGAACCATCTTGACCATATGTAAATTTGATAGTTGCACAATGGGTTATCCTATTGTCAGTTCTCAACGAATCCATATATCACTGAGTATGAAATATCTCAGGGAAAAAAAATTGTTATTATTAATATGTTTTATTGTTGATAACTATTTATATAACTCTAAATATCGTTTCAATTTAAAACATAAAAACAGACTTTTTTCAGTTAATTATACTTGTTCATTTTATTTTCAGTTGGATGAAATTATTGTTAAACCATATGTACGAATATTTGCTGTACCAAATCAACCAGCAATATTAGTTCATACAAAAAAAGATGCTTTTATTTATACAGGTAAGAATATTTAATTGATATTTTTTATTTTTATTTTAATATTCAATTTTTTTTTGTTTTGAATTAATAGGTCCTG